AAGGCCATTTATGAGGCTCTGAAGTTCTGTGTGCAGCATGACTATATCCTCTTAGATTTACACACAGATTCAATGGTATTAAAGAAGGAAATAACTGGAGAATGGAAGCCACCTTGGGTGATAGGTTCATTGGTAGAGGAGATTAGAGAATTAATGAATACAGTTAATGTAAAGCTGTCACATACTCTCAGGGAAGGTAACAAGTTAGCTGACCACATTGCTAGTTATGCTCTAGACAATATTCCTATGGAATGCTATGGATTTCAGGAGTTAGATGTTCAGGGGAGGAGATTGGTAAACTCAGATAAAATACAATGTCCATATATAAGAGTTTCAGTTGCAAGGAGATAAGCAGGAGTGGAGTATGTGTATCAAAGGGGAAGGAAGGGACAAGGAGTCATTCAGATTATCATCATACTCAAATCCTTTTGGAAGAGAGTATGGTGATACAGATTTCCACTAACAATGTTTTCTTTTTTGCAGGTAGGAGTTTGGTATTTATGGCATGTCATGTAATTCATCTACTGTGGGTGGTATTAGTATTTCATACTCATTCCCTCGGAGATGAGGACATGGCATACATATATACTTATTTTTGGATGATGAATAATTTTATTAACAGGAGACTGCCCAGAATGTTTAATAGAACTGGGCAGGATGGAGCTGAGCTCAAACAAGGCTTTCACATCATAAAGCTACTCAATAAAAGAAGATCAGACAACAGAATGGTACTACAGTCAATGAAATTGCCCAGAAAGTTTAAGAGAATTGGCAAATCACGTAAGCAAAATGGAACATGAGATACAGGGAATCAGGCATATGAAGGCAGCATAAAAATTAGTTGTTGGAATATTCAAATATTTGGCAGATATCATACTCAAATCCTTATGGAGGAGGGTATGAAAATGCATTTTATGACTAACTATGTGTGTTTTTTTGCAGGGTATGAGATTGTCATCATGCTCTTTCACTTGGCTAACTCTTACTTGGTGGTATTAGTACTATGTACTCAACCCAAGGAGAGGGAAACAAGTGGAAGAACAAGAATGATAATTAACACTGTCGATCAAGATATGCCCAAAAGTGGGAGATCTACTGAAACTAGCTATTTTCAATATAGGATACTAGTCGCAATTGAAGGGCAACAACAACATATAGAAAAAGGAAGCATTCAAACCTATGAGATCAAAATAGCACACAGCCTGCAGACAGCAAAGTTCCCTTCAGAATCAAGGGAACTCAGCTGGATGATGCACCTGTGGGAAAGAGCAATCAAGCATAAGAAGGGATACAATTCACAACATACAAAGATTCAGACACTCTTGAGGACTTATTATCCTCATGAAAAACAGAAATCAGTGAAAAAACAAAAAATACAACAAGATGAGGAGAGGAAGATCTTTATTCTCATAACAATCTGCAAGATTCGCTGGTATTGGCAAAGAATTTTGAGCAGCATTTCAGCAATACCGACTGGAACATCATCATGCAACACAAAGGAGGCAAAGAAGGGAAGTCAACTGGTCAGTAGCGGCACACACAGAGCTAGGCAACCTAATATATACCATCTTGGCACATGCTGTAGGCAAGATCGAATAGGAATATCTTCAGGGGCAAAGGCATCACAAGCAGCAGCAGCAGCAGGAGAACATGGTGCAGCAATTGGTGATTTGAACAAGGAATTTGGCAAAGGTAGAGCAAAAGTGAATTTCAGAGAGGACATTTTGGAAAGAATTAAGAACTATGATAGAGACAGGTGGGTTCAAACGGATACAATGACTGTTATGACAGGAATAAAAACAATATCGAAGGTTACAAATGGAGACAACACGTGTACAAGGAAAATGAATCAAGAAATGAGACTAAATTTGCAATTTAAGGTGCTGGAGAATAATTGGACGGAATGTGGCTATATTTGCAAGCAGTATGGAATACTGTTTTGGGCTTATAAGAAATGCAAATTGGGTATATCATCTGGGCTATTGGATCCGGACAGCATGTGGAATTACATTGCATGGCTAGTTTTATTATACAATATTAGTAGTAATTTTGTGATATCAATTTTTGAGTAGACTACTCAATTTTGATAATAGGTTCTATGTAAGTTTCAAATTTTATTTCTTTCTTTATGCTAGATCATTGAACAAATTGTTTTTGATTATTATTTTATATATATAAAAACTAGCCCTAGGCACTTTGCCTAGTGGATTAAAAAAAAAAATTGGCACGAAGCCTAAATATGGTATTTAGCCCAAAACATAACAATATCAAACAATTAACTATCAAATACGCAGTAAATCAATCATTCGGAATGGACTAAGTCACAATCCCCAACGGTGCACGACCCCACGCTCATCATCTAGCGAGTGTCTCACCTCAACATAGCCGAACGCTGTGAAATTCCGGGGTTTCATACCCTTAGGACAGCATTTAAAATCACTACTCACCTCAATCCGGCCCGAAATCTAGCTCGCAATGCCTTTGCCCTTCGAATCGATCTCCGGATACTCCAAATCTACCAAAATTAGAACGTATCCATTAAATTATGCTAAAGGGACAAAGCCCACTCAAAAATATTCGAAAAACATCAAAATTCCCGAAATTACCAAAACCCGACGCACGGGCCCACGTCTCGAAATTCGATAAAATTAACATCATTAGATTCCTTATCTCCCCACGAGTTCATACATATAAAAGCTCCAAAATCCGACCACTAATGGTCTTCCAAATCCTCAATCAACGGCCTAGGTTTCTAAGCCCTAGTTTCTCAAAATTTACCCTTAATTACAGCTCTAATCCATGCATTAATACCATAGAATCGAGTTTTTAAGTCCAAAATTCTTACCTCAACGAGTTCTCCTTGAATTCTCTCTTCAAAATCGCCCAAAGCTCTCAAATTCGTGTTAAAAAGTGAAAAAACCCTCTGAAAATCTGCGGTCTTGACCACCGCATCTGCGGTCCTCACTTAAATCCGCTTCTCTGCATCTGCGATGACCCAACCGCATCTGCGCCATCGCAGGTGCGGTCAAATATCCGCTTCTGCGGTCCCAACCCAAACTCACCTCTGGCCGCTTCTGCGGCCCATCTTCCGCACATGCGGCGCCGCACCTGCGGTCCCGAATCCGCAGGTGCGGAAATACCAGAAGCAGCAAAAATTTTGCAACTGCATCAAGCTTTCAACTCCCCGTCAACCATCCGAAATCACCCCGAGGCCCCCAGGACCTCAACCAAAAGCACTAACGTACCCGATAACATTATTCAAACTTATACCAATCTTCGGAACGCTCAAAACAACATCACAACACCAAATTCGCATCGGATTCAAGCCTAAGAATTTCAAAATCTTCTAAATTACGCTTTTGATTAAAACCCCAACCAAACCACGTCCGAATGACCTGAAATTTTGCACATACATCCCAAATGACACAACGGAACTACTGCAACTCTTGGAATTCCATTCCGACCCCTATATCAAAATCTCACCTATAAACCGGAAAACGCCAAAAACTCAATTTCGCCAATTCAAGCCTAAATCTACTCCGGACCTCCAAAACACATTCCGATCACACTCCTAAGTTCCAAATCACCTAACGGAGCTAACCAAATCATAAAAATTCCAATCCAAGATCATATACTAACAAGTCAAATCTTGGTTAAACCTTTCAAATTTCAAGCTTCAAACTGAGAACTGTTCTTCCAAATTCATTCTGATCACCCTGAAAACCAAAACCAATAATTTACATAAGTCATAATACACTACACGGGGCAAGTCATGCCCGAGAACTGGCGAGCAAAGTGTAAAAGCTCAAAACGACCGGTCGGGTCGTTACAACAATATCTTCACCCTTGGGGTCTTTTCCGCTCTCGGATTCACTCATGCTCCCGGAATCATCATCATCAAAAGAGACCAATGCTTTGGCTTCGGCTTCAAACTCTTTTGTACTTTGATCTCAGTAGTGAGATCGAAGCCACGAGCGTGGATATGCTCAAGAGTCTCTCTTCGAGACATTGGCATGCTCGGTAACCCACTATGCTCGCGTTTGAGCAGTATTGGCAACTACCTTTTCTCGAGCTTGAGCGGCTTCGGCATTAGTCCGATAGACGGCCACGATTGCCTCGGCATCGGCCTTAGCCGTCTCAGCCTTAGATTTTGCCACTGTAAGTTATGTGACCAACCAAGCCTGGAGCTCCTCAATCTTCTCGGCTTGCCAAGTTTTTCTCTTTCACACTATGAATTTGACTTTCAGCCGAAGACAACTTAGCTCGAGCAGCCTCTTTCTCTGAGGCAAGGCGGTCCATATTTTTCTTCCACGCTATGGTTTCCGCCTTCACCGCATCTACTTCTCCAGAGCTGCTCGATCATCTCGTGCAGTTTAGTTTGCTCTGTTCTTTTTGAGTCACGGCCAGCTCAGCTCGGAGACCCTTGATTTCTTCTTCTTTATGCTCACCAAGAAGCTTGAGGGTATTTCTCTCCTCAATAAGACCTTGAATTTCGACCTCTTATCGGCTCAGTTTTCCTCGAGACCTAAAGAAAGCTTCATGATGAACCACCGAGGCCTACACACAAAAAAAAATTAGGCAAGAAGAAAAAAAACACAAGTATGATATCGGCAAGGGGAGTTAAGGATTACCCGATCCAAGGCCTATTGTGCCTCACTGAAAAGACACGGTACTCCTATCTCGTCCATCAGAGCTTGATCTTCCTCCGTGACCAGACTCCGAAGGTAACTATCCACCCCTACGGGGGTGGCAAAAACTCCTGCATCCTCCGGGATCGAGATGATGATTGTTCGGTTACACTCGGGATTTTTACTAGGAGCCGGAAACTGGCTGGTCAATCGGAAACTCGTGGAAGATTCATCCAAGCTCTTCCTCGGTATCTCTAAGTCACTCAAGCCAGCAGCGTCACTGACCCCAGCGAAACAACCACGAAAAGGGTCCTCCCCTCCGTGGGCACCTTCTACGTGAGGAGTCTTCATGGCCCGAGCCTCCCGAACTTTCTATTCGGAGAATGAAGGAAGAGAAGGGGAGTCTCTGATTTCTATTGCCCTAAGTGGGTCACTTGGGGAGTTCTCCCCATTTCGAGGAGCCTCGGGATCGGCCTCCGCAGCCATTTTCGATGCCTTCTCACCCCGAAGTGAGGTACCTTTGGCTCCATATGGCTCAGGGACTCCAACTAAATTCCCCTCTTGGACCCCGTCAGATCGAGGCAGAATATCTGCAGTTTCAACTAATTTGGTGGCCTTTTGACCCTCGGTATTAGCTTGTGCTCGAGCCACAAACCGGAATCGTCCTCCTTTTCTTCTTCTTCTTCTTCTTCTTCTTCTTCTTCTTCTTCTTCGTCTTCCTCTCTTAGAAGTTGAACTAACTCCATGGACATGGAAATCACATTCTTCTTGGACTTACACGCCGCTTTATTCATAGGCTCAGGCCCCTTGGAGGATGAGGCCATTTTCCACTTTCTCTCCTTTGCCGGCTTCGAGACAGGGAGTGGTTTTTCTTGTTCACCAGTCGGGGGCCTCATCATCACCTCCTTCCCAATACTTACAAAAGAAGATAGACAAACAAGCTCGGAATAATACTTGAACAGTGATCACATCATGAAGTTGTGGAGAGGAACTTACCATGGCTATTGGCCTCCCATTAGCCCTTCGATAAGTCATGCCAAGAATGCTTGGCGTGCGTTGACCGTGTTACCAGGCTCCGAACCTAGTCCTCAAGACAAGGGATCTCTCCCGGCATCCAGGAAACGGCTGCACTGTCACGACCCAATTCCCACCCGGTCGTGATGACGCCTCTCGTGAAGACAAGACCAGCCAACAGAACAATCAACACTGCTTTTAACAATTTCTTAGCATAAACAGGTTTAAACCACAGATACTGATTAATCATAAGTGCGGAAATAAACGTAACGTAACGGGGAAAAACCATCCCAAACTCAGCCCGATGATCGGGGTGTCACAAGTCACGAGCTACTACAGAGTTGATGAAAATACTACAAGTCTGGAAACATAGTCTGAAAATGAATAAAATATGCAAAAGATAAGGGAGAAACGGGGCTGTGGACGTCGACAACTACCTCGTCTCTCCTAGTCCGCCTGGTCTGGAAGGAAATAAGCGCTCAGGTACGAACTCATCTGTGCCTGTCTCTGCACACATGGTGCAGGAAGTAATGTGAGTACTCCGACCCAGTGAGTAATAAAAATAAATAACGACTGAGAACATAAAATCCCACAAGGGCACAAATAATGCTATCTCAAGCAGCAACATGAGATAAACAGCAGAAACCAGTGAAATATAGTAAGAAAATCTTTTTGGAAACAGTTAAAAATCAATCATACTCAACCAGTAAGTCAGCCATTGTTACCTGACCGGTCAGCCATTGTTACTTGACCAAACGCGTATTACAGTGCCATTGTTACCACTGGTCAGTCATTGTTACCTGACTGGTCAGTCATTGTTACCTGACCAAATGCGTATAACAGTGTCATTGTTACCACTGTTCAATATTTAATCACACTAGATGGGTACCCGCGCTCACTGTAGGTGTGAAGACTCCGGAGGGGCTCCTACAACCCAAGCGCCATCAACAAGGCCTGAAAGCCTGCTCATAATGCACTCGAGGCCTGAAAGCCTCCTCACCTCACTTATCATGCCCTCACATAAGGCCCTTGGCCTCAATCAGTCCAAAAATAGTCAAAGCCCCTCGGGCATCAGTAAACAATAATACCCAGCTCAACAATAGTTCAAATATCAGTTAAAACTCCAAGTTTGAGTAAAAATATAGCTGAGTTCATGAAACAATGTAAATAACATGGACTGAGTTCAAATAGTATTTCAAATAGTGAGGGAAAACAGTGATTACAGCTCACAAAGAGTTCAACGGTCGGCAACAAGCCCAAGTATGGCAATGAGCCCAAAACATAGTGAAAACAACAAGTCATAGCTGACACGCAGTAAAATATTATCCGGGATGGACCAAGTCACAGCCCCCATTAGTAAATGACCCCGCGCTCGTCATTGAACACGTGTCTCATCTCAACACAGCACCAAGTTGTGCAAATCCGGGGTCTCAAGCCCTCAGAACATCATTTAAAATTATTACTCACCTCTAGCCGGCCCAAGTCTAGCTCGCTATGCCTTTTCCCCTCAAATCGACCTCCTCGCGCATCGAATCTGATCAAAACCACAAGGAATACATCACAATAGGCTAATGGATCTAACCCAATTGAAAAGGCTCGAAAAATATCAAAAATCACGAGGTTGGCAAAATCCGAGCCCCGGGCCCACTTCTCGAAAAATTACGAAATACACATCATCGGATTCCTCGTCTCGCCACGAGTCCATACATATCAATTTTACCAAAATTGGAGTCCATTTGACCCTCCAAATTCCGTTTCAAAATTACAAATTCTCAAGCCCTAGCTTTACCCCATTTTTGATGAATTTCAACCAATTTCCATGTTAAATTTAGCATAATTTCATGTATTTGGGTCAAGGGACTTACCTCCAATCACACCTAGTCGAAATCCTCCTTCAAATCCGTCCAATAGCTCTCAAGCTCGTGTAAAAAATGGTGGAAATAACTTAACCCTCGCGGATGAAAATGATATTATAAAACCCCTTCTGCCTACAGCGATTTTCGCTTATGTGGTCCCGCTTCCGCATATGCGGGACAGCTTCTGCTGCCATTTCCCCGCTTATGCGGTTTTCTCACTTAACTTACCACTTCCGCCTTTGCGACATATTCTCCGCTTCTGCGGATTACCTAAGACCGCTTCTGCGGTTATTCACTCGCACCTGCGGACCCGCTGATGCGAAAAGGGGTCCGCTTATGCGGAACTCATCAATTTAACACAAGATTGCTTTTGCACTTTTCCACCCGCTTCTGCGGAACCGCTTCTGTGGTCCATTTCCGCAGAAGCGGAAATACCAGATGACAGAAATCTCAGACCTGAAGCAACTTCCAAAAACTCTCGTTTAACCACTCGAATTCACCCCGAGGCCCCCGGGACCTCAACCAAAAACACCAACACATCCTAACACCTCATTCAAACTTGTTCCAATCCTCAAAACACATCTAACAACGCTAAAACCATGAAATCACATCGGATTCAAGCCTAAGTTTCTTAAAAACTTCCGAATTACGCATTCGATCAAAAACCCAACCAAAACATCTTCGAATGACCTGAAATTTTGCACACACTTCCAAAATCACCTAACGGAACTACTGCAACTCTCGGAATTCCATTCAGACCCCCGGATCAAAATCTCACCCACCAATCGGAATTCGCCAAGATACTAACTTCGCCAATTCAAGCCTAATTCCGCACCGGACCTCGAAAATCACTTCCGATCACGCTCTTAAGTCACAAATCATCCCCCGAAGCTAACCGAATCACCGAAAATCACATCCGAGCCCTCTAACTCAATAGTCAACTTCCGATTGACTTTTCCAAAACAAGCTTTCCTGAAAGAGACTAAGTGTCTCATTTCCATCTAAAACCAATCCAATTCAACTCGATCACCTCAAATACCGATAATGAAGCATAGAGAAACATAATATGGGGAAAACGGGGCGGTAATTCACGTGATGACGGGCCGGGTCGTCACATCCTCCCCAACTAAAACAAACGCTCGTCCTCGAGTGGGTCAAGAAACATACCTGGAGTCTCAAACAAGTGAGGATATCTGCTCCGCGTCTCCTGCTCGGTCTCCCAAGTAGCCTCCTCCACGGGCCGACCTCTCCACTACACCTTCACTGAAGCTATATTCTTTGACCTCAACTTTCGAACCTAAGGACCCAAAATAGCCACTGGCTCCACATCATATGTCAAATGATCGTCCAACTGAACTGTGCTGAAGTCCAAAACATGGGACGGGTCCCCAACATACTTCCGGAGCATAGACACATGGAATACCGGATGAACCCCCGACAAGCTGGGTGGCAAAGCAAGCATATAGGCCACCTCCCCAATCCTCCTAAGTATCTCAAAAGGCCCAATGAACCGCGGAATCAACTTCCCTTCTTTCCAAATCTCATAACGCCCTTCATAGGCGAAACCTTCAACAAGACTTTCTCGCCCACCATATAAGATACATCTCGAACCTTCCGGTCCGCATAACTCTTCTAACGCGACTGAGCTGTACGAAGTCTCTCCTGGATCACCTTCACTTTCTCTAAGGAATCCTGCACCAACTCTGTCCCCAATAGTCTAGCCTCGCCGGGCTCAAACCAACCAACCGGAGATCTGCACCGTCTCCCATATAAGGCCTCATACGGCGCCATCTGAATACTGGACTGATAGCTGTTGTTGTAAGCAAACTCTGCGAGTGGCAAGAACTCAGCCCACGAACCTCCAAAATCAATAACACAGGCACGCAACATGTCCTCCAATATCTGAATGGTACGCTCGGACCGCCCGTCCGTCTGAGGATGAAATGCGGTGCTCAACTCTACCTGTGTACCCAACTCTCGCTGAAAAGTCCTCCAAAACTGGGAAGTAAACTGAGTACCCCTATCTGAGATGATAGAAACTGGGACCCCATGCAACCGAACAATCTCCCGGATGAAAATCTCTGCTAACCGCTCCGAAGAATAGGTAGTACACACCGGAATGAAGTGCGCGGACTTGGTCAGCCGATCCACAATCACCCAAATCGAATCATACTTCCTCGAGGTCCGAGGGAGACCGCTCACAAAATCCATATTACTCCTCTCCCACTTCCACTCTGGAATATCCATCCGCTGAAGTACACCACCCAGTCTCTGATGCTCATACTTGACCTGCTGACAGTTGAGACATCGAGCTACATAACCCACAATATCCTTCTTCATCCTTCTCCACCAATAGTGCTGTCTCAAGTCCTGGTACATCTTCGCGGCACCCGGATGGATGGAATACCGCAAACTGTGGGCCTCCTCTAATATCAACTCCCGCAGCCCATCTACATTGGGCACACAAATCCGGCCCTGCATCCTCAACACAACAGCATCATCAATAGTCAAATCCCTGGCATCATCGTGCTGAACCCTGTCCTTAAGGACACGCAAATTGGATCATCATACTGGCGCTCTCTGATGCAGTCATACAAGGAAGACCGAGAAACTACACAAGCCAAAACCCGACTGGGCTCTGAAATGTCTAACCTCACCATCCGATTGGCCAAAGCCTGGACATCAACTGCAAAGGGACTCTCCCCAACTGGAATGTACGCCAAGCTACCCATACTGACCGCCTTCCGGCTCAAAGTATCGGCCACCACATTGGCCTTCCCCGGGTGGTACAAAATAGTAATATCATAGTCCTTGAGTAACTCCAACCACCTCCGCTGTCTCAAATTAAGATCCTTTTGCTTGAACAGCTGCTGAAGGCTGCGATAATCGGTGAATACCTCACAGGATACTCCATACAGATAGTGCCTCCAAATCTTCAAAGCATGAACTATAGCAGCCAACTCCAAATCATGTACAGGGTAGTTCTTCTCGTGAGGCTTCAACTGACGAAAAGCATATGCAATAACTCTACCCTC